GCACACGTTGGCTGCTCAGAAGCAGCCTGGAAACAACAGCTGTGGGGAGACCCCCAAGGATTCCCAGGCAGTGGAAGTGGGGGGAGCTCGAGCCTGGGGCGGGATTTCTTTGTGGTGGGGAGAGAGAAAAAACAGCCGGGGACAGCAGCCAGCAGCTCCTCCCCCGCCCCCAGCGCTTATCCTGGAAATGTCTGGTAGAGTTTGTAGGGAGGCTGCCCAGTGCTAGGAGAGACACCAGCAGCCAGCGAGGTAACAACCGGCACCAGAAATGCAGGGACCCAGCGAGCGGGAGACAGTGAAAAGGGACCCAGTGGCCGAGCTGTGTCATCGAAGGGGCCAGGCAGGGGGAAAGTCCCGTTGAGAAGGGACAGAGATGGCAGGAACAGGAGGAAGTAGACAGAGGAAAGACAGAGGCATGAGGGGGAAAGTTAAAGGCAGAACCTGGCAGTGAAACACGAAGAAAAAAGAGTCTCTAAGTTACCTAAGTAATTGTTAGAAAACCACAAGAGAAGTAAAGCACAAATGAAATGTGACAGAAACCAGCTGTGAGCAAAGAGAAACGGGCTGGAGAAATGAGGAGGAAGTGAGCTGTAGCGAAAGTAAAGCAAATAGTACGGACAAAACGTCCCCCCAGCACCTTCAGGTGCAGCGACAGGAAGGGAAAAATTGTCCGAGAGCAAAGGGACTCTACAAAAAGCAGTGGAGGGACAGTTGTTCGATTGAGAAGCCGACCCATCGCCTGGAGAAATAGCTGCAGGTATCTGAGCTGGAACTCAGAGCAGCAAACAGAGACGGCGCAAGGGGATGGCTCAAGACACAACAAACCAGCCTAAGAAGAGAGAAGCCGCGAAGGGACCGTAGAGCGGTGGGTTCTGGCCTAGTGCCTTGGACGTTCTAACGCCAGATCCTGGTGCTCCAGGAATGTAAATTGTTGCCCAGGAAGTGGGTTGAATTCAGCCAATGGCAGTTACTGTCCAGGCGAGCTCAGCAATAGTTCCCAGTGTGACCCTACCGAGCAGTTCCTGCTACACCAGCGAACTCTGATTCACTTGTGATCATTCCCCACTCAACTGATTTCTCCTTCCCCAGCTGATGGAGATAAAACGCAATTGGCCTCTAGGTCCCCTCAGCCTCTCCTTGCCCTGCCCCAGCCACCCCTCCACGGGCTCCTCGCAGATGGATCCGCGCCGTTGCCCTGCTGAGGGGTGGGGGGACCCTATGTCTCTTGTGTCGCTACCCCAGCTCTCTTGGTCTTGGATTCGGGGGGAAAGCATCCAGCAGACTCTCTCCCTGCAGGCCCCTGAATCGGCCTCATCACTGGGGCCGGGCTGTGGGGACGGGGCGCAGTGACCGTGTGTGATGAACTGGGATTGTTCTTACTGTGGTCTTTGAATGCTGACAGGGGAGTGTGGCTAGGATGGTCTGCATTGGGGGATGGGAGACCTGTGGAGGGAGAATACCTGAGCATGTAACATGAGAACCCAGCAAGGGATTAGAGGCCAGGTGACACCTTTGCCCGGGAAACTGAACAAAGGCTGGGGAGAGAGTTGAGAGCTGGCTGGTGACATGGCTGGGAGGCAGACAGGGCTTTGACCTCCCAAGGGGGCTGTGGTGCCCTGGGACCCCAAGATGGACCTAACTGAGGGGGTCCTGTTGTCTGTGCCTGCAAGACCTGTCTTGGACTGTGTTCCTGTCGTCTAAATAAACCTTTTGCTTTACTGGCTGGCTGAGAGCCATGGTGAATCGCAGGAAGCCGGGGGTGCAGGGCCTTGTGTCCCCCCACACTCCGTGACACCATGCCAGGGGTCTATGTCTCACGGCTTGTCTCCTCCTCCCTGCAGAGCCCAAACCCAACATCACCCTGTACCCCAGTGGGCAGGTCGCCCCGGGGGGAGCCGTGACCGTCCGGTGTGAGTGTCGGTGTCGGGGAGCGAGGTTCCTTCTGAGTAAAGCTGGAGACCTGGACGCACGGCGCGCGACGGATTCCGCTGGGGACGTGGTTGAGTTTCCCATCCGCAGTGTGAGCCAGGGAGACGCAGGGAACTACAGCTGCCAATACAGCACCAAGTGGGACCCACCCATCTGGTCGGAGCCCAGCGACCCTGTGGAGCTGGTGGTAGCAGGTGAGGGGCCCGGCTCAGCATCCCCGCTCCCAGCCGCACACCCAGCCGGACCTTCAGGGGGTCTTGGCCCCTTTGGGATTCTCAGAGCCAGGCTCTGCCCTGAGCCCAGCTGAGGTGACGCCCAAACGAGGAACGGGGACAGAGTCACTGGGGGGTTCCCCAGCCAGGGGGCAGCAGCAGCCGCTGGAGTTTCAGGCCAATGGCTGGGTGCTCGGTTCCCTCCTTCCCCCATCCCAGCCAATGCTCATTTTCATTCCACAGAGGGATCCGACTGAGTTGGGCCCCAGCAGCCGGATCCCCCAAAGGCGGAGCCAGAGGGAGAAAGTGAACGGGAGAAATGGAACAATTCATCGCCCAGGGAACAGGGCTCCCCACTCAGATGCCCATGGGCCATTCAGGACGTTTGGAGGGGGATGGTCCCTGTAGACAGAACTGATGGATTCAATTCTTCTAGATAGAGGGTGATGGATAGATTCATGGGGATGGCTGGCCATGGGTCAGTGGGGAGGGCCGGCCATGGGTCGGTGGGAATATGGGTCCTTTGGAACGTAGGCGGTGGACAAATGGGAGCTCGTCTGGTGATGGATAGGAAGATGGAATAAGACCTTGTCTACATGAAAACTGGACCCGAAATGACGAATCCCGTGTGGTTCCCAACCCCCAGTGGTGATCTCAGAGCGAGTCTGGGCTGTCGGTATTAGCGCCCCCTGGTTTGATACAGCCCCGTTTGGCAGACAAGCTCCCCATGTAGCTCTATAGACACAGGGACGTTCCTCCTCCAACATAGGAACAGCCGCGCCCAGACCTGCTCCGCAGTGACTCCAGGTGTGAATGAGACTTGGCTGCGGCAGGGACCGTCTCTGTATCGTGTGTCTGTACAGCTCCAAGCACACGGGGGAGCTGGCCCACGACATGGGCACCTGGTAATTAATACTAGGTAATAATGATTTTGGTTCCGGTTTCCATGAAGCCAGGCAGGGGCTGTATCTGCGCTCAGGGTCTCGCTGGGCCGACCCTCCCCGTTCTGGGATCCAGGGGCATTGAGTCCCGTCCTCTCCCCAGGGACCCCGGCTCAGGCCGAGGAAGAACCACCATTGCCGATTGGGGGGAGGAGGGGTTCCCTGTATAACTAACTACAGACACCAGGGCTCCAGTTTTCTCACCCCCTGGCCCTGCCCCTGAGAGATACTGGTTCTATTCCTGCAGGGGCAACAGACACGAGTGAGCCGGGAATGACGCTGGCTCCCCCCCACCCAGGCAATGCGGGGCCAGGTACCAGGGCTGAAGGCAGGAAATCGACATCAACCCACCGCAAACAAGGTTTGTGCTGCCCAAGGAGCCACCCCCGGGGGGAGCCACTAAAGGCTGGCTGGAGGGGATGGGATCCCCACAGCGAATGCCCCATCTGAAACTTCACCCCCGGACTCATTTCATAGACTGGGGGGTGTTACTGGACAGATGCCAGATTGGCTTGGTGGGGGCAGGGCCCGTGAGAGCTTCCCCCAACTCACAGCCCCACCCCAGGGGCCCCACAAACTTAGATGCTATGCTGCCCATCGGCACCACAAAGTAACCTGTGTGGGGCACAGCCCGGTGCGTATCCCCCTGGGAGAATGGCGCCAGGACCGGAGAGCCGGGGATAATGGCTCTGTGTATCCCGTCTGTCTGCCTGAGTCTCAGACAGCTTGAACCCACTGGTTCAGAGTGACATACTGTTAATGTTAACTCTGGAACCTAATGGTGGTGGTTGCAGTGACAGCACTGTTACATCTTCTGCTGCTGATCACTTCAGCAGTGAATGGTTCTCCCAATGATCTCAAAGCATCCTCCCCAGCCAGAAGCCCCCTCCCCCTGCCATCCCCGCACCCATATGATTCCTACGCAGAAGTGAGCTGAAGCTGCTGAGAAATTCCCAGGACAGGGGCAGAACCCGAGCAGGTTGGGGGCTGGGCTGCAGGATCCGGGCCCAGTTGGCTTCACATGCATGGGGCCTGAGGTTCACCCCACACACACACCCTCCTCCCACCCCAGTACAGCCCTCTGCCTTTGGGAGTGACCCCCCTGACCACTATTGCCCAGAATCCCCTCTGCTCCTGCCCCTCCATTAGCCCCATAGAATGTTCTGCTGTGGGTCCCTGGGTCCTCGAGGGGGAGGGGCTGGGGTAACAGGTAACGAACCAGCCACTCACGGCGCTCACGGCCTGGTGCTGCTTCCCAGGGGGATCGGAACCAAGTGCAGCATCGGGTCTGATCTGCACCATCATCGCCGGGGTGAGCGCGGCGGCCGCTGGCCTCCTCCTCCTCCTCCTGGCCTTCGTCTGCTACAGAAGAACCCAAGGAAGTGAGTTCCCCGCCCAGCGAGGGAAGGGTTAAACTCACTGCTAAGCCGGGCTGGGAAGGGGTCATGGCTGAGATGGGAGACAGGGCAGGAAACCCAGGGGGTGGGGCAGGGGCCCAGCAGGAGGCGCTTTCCCCTGGCAGTGAGAGCCGGCCCCAAAGCCCCTGGGCAGCACTAGGGGGCGCTGTGCTGCAGGGGGTGGGGGCTCAGTACGGAGTGCTGTGGTGCAGGGAGAAGGGTGGGGGGCTCCACAGGAGGCACTGGGCTGAAGGAGGTGGGGCAGGGGGCTCAGCAGGGGGCACGGTGCTGCAGGGGATGGGGCAGGGACTCACTAGGGGGTGCTGTGCTGCAAGGGGCGGGGACCTGTCTCTAGGGTATCCACGTTCAGCAGCTTCAGGGGACGGGGTTCCCCCTGGCACGGGGGGGGGGGGATTCTGTCCTGGGCCCCCTGTCCCAGCTGCCCTATAGGGCTGAAGGACAGGGCTGGCATACAGGGATCCAGGTCAACTCATGGACGATTTTGCTTTGTGTCTCTGCAGGGAAAGGACCAGCCCCGAGACAGAGCAGGTGAGACCCCCAGCTCCGCTCCCCACCCTGACCTATTTGCCACAGGACTCCTGGGTTCTCTCCCAGGGATGGGGAGTGGTGTCTAGTGGTTACAACAGGGGGTGCTGGGAGCCAGGACTCCTGGGTTCTGTTACTATCTCTCTCTCTTTCTTCCCGTAGGGAGTCTGAGGCTGCAGCCACAGTCTGTAAGTCACACATGAGGGGGCAGGCATGGAGCAGGGGGGAGGGGCGGGTGTCCCCGGGCAGGGGCCATGTCCTGTGGGGGGGGCATGTTGATGTGGGGTGCAGCTCTGATTCATTGTGTGCCTTTGGGCCACCCTATTCCACTCTGTGCCTCAGTTTCCCCCACCATGGGGCTGGTGACCCTACCCCACCCCAGTGCACTGGGGGGAAGGCAGGCCAGCCTGCAAAGCGCTGAGATGGGAGGTGGGGGGCTGGGCCCAAGGCCCTGATCAAGACCCAGCTGCTCACTGCGGGGGTGTCTCTATTCCACAGATGCCCTCGTGGGCGAAGGGAAGCAGCTGGATGTACTGGTAAGTGCCCCCCACTCCTCAATACCCACAGCACCAATGCACCATCCAGCCTCGCTTCGCCCCTCCACCCCCTCTGTCATCTGGTCCTGCACAGGTCCCACTAGAGCCATGTTCTCACTCCCAGACTCTGCCTGGCCCCCCCGTACCCCCTCAGGACAGACACCGGAGCTGGGGATCAGAACACAGAGAATAAGAGCCTGACCCTGCACCCCCAAACTCACCTTGACCCCCTCAAACCATCCTCCAAACGTTTGTATTTGTCTGAGATTTGCGGAGGGTCAGTGGAATTCCATGGGGGGCAGGTGCCAGGGGGTGGCGGGAGGGATTTCCCTGATCTCTGCCCCATGGGGCTCTCTGGGCTGGAGTGGGTGTGGGGGTGTTGCTGGATTCCCCGGGGGTGGGGGGAGGGAGGCAGCTCTCTGGAGACCCCTGCTGGACAGGACAGAGCATGTCAGAGCAACAGTGCATGTGGTGGGGTTTGGGGGGCATCGCTGCCCCCTGGTGGCTGGGATCAGAACTGTCTGGTGTGTGTGTGTTGGTGTTGGCGCACACACACACACACACACACACACACACACACCAACTCCTGCCCCCCACACCCAGTCACTGGTGTCTCTCTCCCCTCCCAGCCCCAGGAGCCCGACCCCGGCGCCGAGGGACTGACCTATGCCGAGCTGGACCGCCAGGCGCTGCAGGCCAAGTGGAGGGGCCCGGCCTCTGCTCCCGAGCCCGTCCTGTACGCCACCATCAACGTGAGCCGGGGGCCTGATGGGCAGAGCCCCTGGAGTGCAGAGACACCCCCCTCCAACCCCATAGCATGAACCCAGGAGGAGTCATCGGCCAGGCAGGAGCAGCACCAGGGTTTTTGGCGCCCTAGGCGGGGGTCCTTCCACGCTCTCGGTCATCGTCGGCAATTCTGCGGCGGGGGGGTCGTTCCGCACTCCCGGCCTTCAGGGCACTTCGGTGGCGGGTCCCGGAGCGAGTGAAGGACCCACCGCAGAATTGCCGCCGAAGACCCAGAGCGCGGAAGGACTCCCCCCACCGCAGAATTGCCGCCGAGGGTGGCAAAATGCCGCCCCCCCAAATCCTGGTGCCCTAGGCAACCACCTAGGTCGCCTAAATGGTAGCGCCGGCCCTGTGGCCAGGCCAGAGCCTGCGTGCCCCCAGCGGGGACAGAGGGGCCGCTCTCCTCCTGGGGCAGCCGGCAGCGGCTTCCAATGGCCCTGGAGCCACCTTCACAGCCTCCTCCCCCAGCATCCGCCTGAGCCTCTCCACCCTGGGACTGAGCGGGGAGCAGCCGTGAGTCTGGGGTCAAGGCAGCCTCTCACTAACAGGCCTCCCTGCTCCCCCCCCACCTCCCCTCCGCTGGGGCAACTCCCCCTCAGCGCTCGCCCCACCCCAGGGCCCAGGGACTGCAACCCACACACACGGGCAGGAGCTCCCAGGACAGGCTGCTCCCAACGCTCCCCCTCCCCACTGAGGCACTGGGACACCGGAGGAGTCTCATCCTGTCACAGCAGTGGGGTTTGCAGTGAGTTTGGACCAGCAGCTCCCCCCGCCCCCGCCCCAGGCCACACTCCCTGCCAGGCTGGAGAAAGACCAGAACCCGGGAAGGAGGCTGAGCTTGTCCTGGGAACCCCCAGCTAAAGTTCACAAGGTCCCAGTCACATCAGGCCTGAGCCCCCCCAGTTCTCACTGATTTCATTGACTGGGGTTCTGGGGGTTCAGCAGCAGGGTCTGGCTCCCTGAGAATCTCCTACAAGGGGAGGCCGGGAGCCCCATTGCTGGGACATTTCCCCCACGCTGGAGACGGCTCTGGAGAACACCCAGCAGGAAACGTGCTGCCCAGGCTCAGAGCGAAGGGCTGCAGGGGGCTGTGTTAGCAAATCTAGTCTCCCTGGGAGGAGATTCCCCCCATTTCTGCCCCGCCCCGAGCAGAACAGGGAAGCCCCTGAGGATGTGCTACGTGCCACTCACTTGCTCTAGGTGGCGTGGAGCTGGGTGGCAGATGCTCAGAGTTGGTCCGTCCCTGGCCCTCTTCCTCGCTTTCCCGCCGTGATGTGAGCTGGGAAAGGTGCTGCGCTGGGCGGTGCAATGCCCTGCCAACAGGGCCGGGGGTAGAAACCGGGAGACCGACCGTGGCTGTGAAAACAAGACGATGTTTTATTGCCAAGGGATGGAGAAACTCAGGCCAGCAGCCGGGGTCCAGAACACGGACCTACTGCAGGCAGCTCATGGTCTGCCAGCACCTTACACACATTCCTGACGCCTGACAAGTCCTGGGCTCTAGGGGCGGGACCCCAACCCCCCTGATGGGAAACTGTGGCCTGGGCAGGGGAGTCACTGCCTCAGGGTCGCACTGGGAGCCAGTGACAGAGCCAGGGATGGAGCCAGGAGTCCTGTGTCCAGGCCCTGCACTGAGCACTAGAGGAACACTCCCTTCGAGAGCATCAGTCACAGGGTCTATAACACTGACCCACCATTGTCAGCGCTCTGAGATCTACCCAGGAAAAGCTGCCCTGTAAGCGCTGTGCAGCATTGGACCATTAAAGATCAGATCCAAATTCCTAGAATTTACACCTGGGCTTTCAGTTCAGCCCAGTACAGAGTGAGGAGCCCAGCCCCAGACCTTAGATCGAGGAGGATCAGCCCTTCCTGGACTGGGAGATGAGCTAGGAGCTTTTCAATCCCGAGGCAGATGGATTAAAAATAGATTATTCTTAAAATACGAACTGGATTTTTTAAATTAAATTAACCACAGGTTTGTTTGTTAAATTAATGCTGCTTAAAATTAAATTTGAAATTGACAACCTATGTTAAATCCTAACCTGATTATAATCTCTTAAAACAATTTAAAGAGAATAGAAAAAACCCAATATTAAGTAGTACATGTTTACTGCCAAGTTTTAAGGACAGTCAAACCACTGAAGCCCCGAGAACCAGAATTACTTGAAGTGTTAAAACAGCTTTAGACAGCAGTAGCCTCCTTTGAAAGTGCAGAAAGAATATTTTCTTCATTTCATTTTATTCAACTAGTTCAGTTCAATGACAAATTCACTGGATTTAAGAACCCCCTGGGGAGTTGACCAAGCAGCAAACTTGTTTTTTTCCTTCAATCTATGAATAAAAATGAGGTGTGAGGGGATGAGGTGTGAGGGGATGAGATCTACCAGTTCATACATCTCGAAGGAGATGGTGAGCAGAAGGTATCAATTTAGTTCACTAACTACAGGTAATATTTCCTTTGTTTAAGAACTCAGTTTTAAATGCAAAACATTTTTGATACATGTTGATTTGCAACTAAATATAGTCTTTAGACTACATTTGGTGCTTTTTCTTTTGCTAACCATGATAGTAAACTATATCTATGCCCATTGATTGAAGCAGTTATATGGAGTCATTTACATTTCTTCAGTCTAATTTTTACATTTTGATTATATTGGAAAATGGCAAATGATGCATTTATTTCCTAGATGATGATGATTTTTTTTTACTTCTGATTTGTACAATCTCTGTTTGGATGGAAATTCAAATGCACTCAAAAATGCAGAGAAACAGCATTTTCAATATCCTTATTAATTAAATAAAACTACCTTAAATGTGCTGAATACAAAATAACAAAAACGTGTATTGAATCGTATTTTTCATTTAAACCTAACTGATGTAAGGAGGTATCTGCAGTTTGACTTAAAACTGGGCAGCAAACACGGACTAAACTAGAGCAAGTTTAGGCATTAACATAGGTTGTCAAAAATTTAAATTTAATCCCCAATAGTCTTGTTTTAAAAAAAAAATCCTTGTTTTTCATTTAAATGAAAATAATTCAATTGAAAAAACATTTAAATCCCTTTTGTGGCTTTTTGTTTTTGAAAAAGTCATTTTTATTCACCCTGATTTTAGAAGAACTTCCGCATTCAAGAGAATCCTAAACTGCTCGTATTCGGTTAGAGGAAAGAAGGCAGCGAAAGTCATCATATCAATAATTAGTTGAAAATTATTTACTCGATCTTAAAAGAGACTAACTAGAGGGTCGGACATTTGTTTGTTTCTTTAGGCCCAGTTTCCATTCCTGAACCAGTAAGAATTGCACGGGATAATGCCCCAAACCCTATAGTTTATAGTCAAAGCCATTCCTCGTCTGTTCTTCCGGTTTATTAAGCCTTGAACAGCGGCTGTGTTCATGCAGCTGGCTGCTGTGGTGCCACAGTGGCCTCTGGTGGGCAAAAGGCAGAACTGCAGGACCTTTTCTTGGGCAGACTGTATTTTACGCGGGGAAAAAAACAAATTATGCGGGACAGATGAATTCTGCGTGTCCGCAGATGCGCAGAATTCCCCCAGGAGTCACAGTGTGTGTCCCTGCCGCCCCCGCTGCAGGGGCTGGGCCCTGCTCTGCATGTCAGTCGCATGGGTCCTGTGCCCTAGTGCAGGGGTTTTCAAAGTTTGGGTCACGACTCAGTACTGGGTCGCGGAATGCCAGGCACCG